GGCATCGCTACTAGGAGCAAGGACGCTACTAGGGGCTCCTGGCATCGCTACTCCCATGACTTGCGCAACGTGTCTAGCGCTTCCCTCGCCCCTTCACCATGTTGGTGGGTAGCGGGGAGTTTGGTGAAATGTCGAAGTGAAAAATGAAGTACAAAAAGTGCATGCTATACAAACGTTCCTAAATCGGACTAACTAGGTGAAACCGAATATCCGCGCTGCATCTAGAGTGAAGAAGGAACAGTAATTACGAATTGAAGATTCCTAATTAGGTGCCGATGGGATAGGCACAGAGTCAAGGTCGCCCTTACGATTCCAGCATTGACGGAGATACCGCCGATAAAGGAACCGTTGTTCGAACGACAATGGGATAGCGTCGACAACTTGCAGAGTTGGTTGAACATGGTGCATAGGGATAATTCCATCGGGATGGTAAGGTGGCTTGCAATGCAAATCAAGAGCATATCGAAGCAAGGTGCGCTGGACTTCCTTGGACTTGGGGATTTCTGGTCGGTAACGAAATCCTCCTGTATATGCTCGACCCCATCCGACCCGTGTCAAGCTGAGCGAACCCTTTTTTGAGTAGGTAGGTATCAAAGGAGTACTGGCATAATGTTGAAGGTAGAGCACAATCGTACGAAAAGCTTCGGCTTGTTCCCGAAGTGATCGACGATTTGCCGGGAGGGCAAGACCCTTGGATCCTGCCAGTGGAGGGGTTGTGCTCGCTTCTGATTCTCTAGTCTAACCCATGTTGGTAGTTGGAGGCCAGTATTAACGACGAATGCTACGGCAAGTTCATGCCAGGTGATCCCGTCTGTAACCGTAGGGTCATGACCAGTGTAATCATCGGACGGCCAACGCAGGGAGGCACAAAAATGCATAACTAAATCTGCGTATTGGTTGCCCCAGACACACGCTGTGAGAAAGGCTGGGTGGATAACTGGCCTAAAAATCTGCCAAGGGTGGGACACTTGGAATGATTCCCGTGCACGAAACAAAAGGCCCCAAGCATTATCAGCGGAGTCACCTGTGCCTTCCAAGACTTTTTGCTGGGAGAGTTGCTGATGCAACTGGAGGTGATGCAAATTGAGGTCCGCTAGATATTTTAAAATGCATACGGTCTGAAGATATTGCTCCTTATGCCAGACCTGAGCCCGTTGGAAGAGCTGGTTGATAAGCGGATGATCTGTCTGACGGGTTCGTACTGCTGCGTGGTCAGCCCACGAATTACCGATCGCGTCAGTGCGTTTCTGTCCTGCTGGTAATTGGGAAATATCCTGGTGGGATTTTACTTTCCTGAGAAAGAACTGAGCCGGGTCCCAGTATCGATGCAAGATTTGCAGAAGGTCAGCATGTGCTAACCGATGCCAGGTGGGGGCCATCGTGTTGTCAGTGATTTGTGCTACGATGTTGATCACATACTGAGAATCTGTTGTAATAATGACTGGTTCGGATCGATGTGTGGTGACGACATATTGAACAATCCAGGTGACTGCAGCGAGTTCTGCGCGCGAAATGGATTGGGGACCTTGGACGTGTTGAATTTTGATTGTGACGAAGGGTTGTGTCGTGGAGTCCGGTTGATATTGGATAATCGACCAGGCGGCCCTGCGTGTTTCCGGATGGAGTGGTGTATCAGCAGAGCCATCGGTATAGAACATCAGGACTTGGTTCCTCTGCTGGATGACTGTATGAGTCGTATCTTGGCCCCGAAAGGATAAGAGTTGACGTAACAGACAGATATCCGGAAAGGAGTGTGGCAAAGGTAACCACAGCTTATCTAGAGTATTCGTGAGATAAGTGACTGCCTGTGGGTGACGCTGCCGTACGTGCAAGAAAGCAGGACAAATCAATTGTTGATGATGATGAGTGTCGAGTTGTCCGCAATGGGGGCAGTCTGCTGTGGCGGTGGCAGACCATTGGGCCTTGACAGCTCCTACTTGGTAACCTCCGGTCAGGTTAGAGGCAATCTGACGCAAGGATGTCATGGACAGCTGTCGCAGTGCGCGAGTGAGGATGTCATAGTCAAATGGCGCTGGTGGGATACCCTTACGGTGGCTAATCTGGCGATGCAAGTGGTAGGCCCACGCCCTCCGGAGTGTAGAGCGTATGTGTCGGAGGGAGTCGTGTCGAACTGACACAGAGAGGTATCCATCAAGTGTCAAATGGCCATGCAAATCTAAAGACCATCCTAACAAATTAAGATATCGCGCTAACGCCCCGGCCGGGCCAACGGCAGGACCGTCATGATGGACCACTGCTGTTAAGAAATCATGGGCCAGGGCGGAGTTGGTATGAAATAGCCGGCGTAGAAATGAGAGGGCCGTGGAAAGGACATATAAGTATGG